CCCTGCCCCACGCGGGGGGCTCTGCACAAGCCTCCGAAGGCTGAGGCTACTCCCAAAGCGGAGTGGTGAGTCCAGGGTTTTTTTTGGGTTTTTTTTTCCTAAAGGGCCAGAGCTGGCCTGTGCAGAGCACCTGTGGGGGGCCTGGGGGAGCAAGGTGGGGGGTTGGGGGGCTTGTGGCAGAGTCCTCCATGCAGTGGGGGGCAGTGGGGATTGCCCCCTGCCTGGCAGCACCCAGTGAGCCAGGGCTCTTTTTAACAAGTGCCAGGAGCTCAGGTGGGTGGGGCAGCTGGGGTGGGGGATGGGCCTGGCCTGGTTGATTAGGAAATTTGGCTGAATCAAATCAGGACAGTGATTTGAATCACCGAATCAAATCATTGCCCCCCCGAATCCTCTGAATCCGAAGCAAATACTAGCTGCTTCTCACAGGCCTAGTCAATATTGACCTGGAAAGATGTGGGCAGTGGAGTCCCGCAAGGCTCGGTCCTTAGATCAGTGCTATTCAGTGTCTTCATCAGTGACTTGGATGAGGGCATGGAGAGCACGCCCTATCCAAGTTCACAGGTGATACCAAATTATGGGGCAGAGTTGACACACCAGAGGGTAGGTAACGGATCCAGGTAGATCTGGACAGATTGGAAAAATGGGCAGAATGAAATAGGATGCAGTTCATCAAAGATGCTGCATCTAGGCAAAAAGAGCCTCCAACACACTTACAGGCTGGGAAATGACCTTCTCAGCAGCACAGCAGTGGAAAGGGATCTTGGAGTCATAGGTGACTGTCAGTGTGGCAAAGTGATCAACAAGGCAAACTGCACTTTATCATGCATTAGCAGATGCATGATGAATGGGTCCAGAGAGGTGATACTTCCCCTCTATGCAGCACTGGTCAGGCCGCAATTGGAGTACTGCATCCAGTTTTGGGCGCCACACTTCAAGAAGGATGCGAATTCAGAGAAGGGCCACTGGTATGGTCATAGGCCCTATGAGGAGAGACTGAAGGACCTAGATCTCTTCAGCTTTCACAAGAGAAGGCTGAAAGGTGATTTTGTGGCTGCCTATAAATTCATCAGGGGAGGGCAGCAGGGAATCGGAGATGCTCTGTTTACTAGGGCACCCCCCGGAGTAACTAGGAACAATGGCCACAAATTGACAGAGTATATTTAGGTTGGACATTAGAAAGAACTTCACAGTAAGAGTTGTCAGAATCTGGAATGGGCTTCCAAGTGTGGTGGTGCTCTCCCCTACCTTGGGGGTCTTCAAGAGGAGACTGGACAAGCACCTAGCTGGGGTTGTCTGACCCCAGCACTCTTTCGTGCCCAGGTCAGGGGGTCAGACTGGATGACCTACCGAGGTCGCTTCTGACCCTAATGTCTATGAATCTGAAGGCCTTTTAAATTTTGAGTCTGCCAAAAATAATCTGCAGTAATTCCTTGGTTGCCAGGGCTATGCTAGCTCATCCAGTAGCTCTTGGAAATTAGGGAAAATGTTTTCTGCACTCAAATGTATTTAGATGCACAACTCCTGTGCATTTGTCAATTGCCTCATTTTTAATTTGTTCAACAAAATAAGAGCTGCTACATGTCATATCTCAGCGCTTGCTAGTTAGGTGACCATGTGGCCAAATTTGAGGAAAAAACAGCTGAGCTTCTTTAAACAGAACACAGTTGGGTTAAGTACGGTCTCATTGCCTCATGAAAGCAAGATTTTCCAAACTCCAAGCCAATAGACATGTTCCCCTGGAGTTTTAAACTTGCACTAGGACTAGACTTTTCTTGCAGGGAATCTACTAGAGTTTGCACCCCAAATGAGACAAGCTTCTGCTAGCGTCTGAGAACCTGACAGTAAAACTTAGGTAGGAACAAATTTAATTTGAATAGACTGTTTTCCAAGCTGGGAAAATGCAAGAAGTGAATAGCACAGTGAATCCTAAATAATATTTAAATAGGAAGCATTTTAAATCCCAGCCAAATCCCAGCCAAAGCATTTTAAATCCCAGTAATATAGGATAGGAATTTTTAAGTTGTGTGGTTGGGATTTTTTTTCACTCTTTTTAATTCGTTTGGCAGGGACTTGTTCATCTTGTCTTTCTTCTATAGCTCTTTTGCCAGCTATATGTACCACATCATTATGACATGTTATGATGGTATGATAGTAACAGCCAGAGAATATTTTATAATTAGAAAAACCTTTGGAAATTAACAATATTCTCCTTCCTGTGCTAGGGAAACTGTCCTGCAGGAGGTTGTCTGATGGCTGTGTCCTGTGACTACAGAATCATGGCCGAGAACCCCAAATACAGCATTGGACTGAATGAAACACAACTGGGCATTGTTGCACCTTTCTGGTAAGGTCACGTTTAACCCATAACCAAATTTTTACTGGCCTCCATAGTAAGAGTTAGTTTGTAAAAAGGAGTTTGTGATACAAGCTCAGTTAGCTTAATGATTGATTTACATTTTAAATCAACAAGACCTATTTATGCATTACTCATTCAGAAGGGCTGACAAAGCAGTTGCAGCTGTGGGCCAGAGGCCAGCTCAACACAGTTTTAGAACTCTGTACTTTTTATCCTTACAGTGTTTACAACTTTTAAAGCAAAATGCTCTTTGACCTCAGACTTTACATGTTGCTTTATTGCACCCTGTCTGCATCTCAAACTGCCATGCTACAAGAGCAGGCTCACAGCTTTCCCTCATTTCATTCTGCATACATAATTAACAAGGACCTACATTCTGCTTCTGATTTATCCTGCAGTTAGTGCAGTAATGACAGTAGTTCAATGACTAATACATTTTGTCATAGCTTAGATCTTACCATGAGTATGGTCTTTCTGGGATTTAACATAAGTTGTATAAAGGCTTTCTCTGTATATGATGTTAGGAATGGTACATAAATCTTGCATTGGCTTCTACAACATAGGCTACTGAAGACATCTGTGGGGAAGGTGGGCAGTCATTTAAAATGTGCAAGTAGTATGATTTACCAGATCCCATTAAAGTCAGTATTAAAGACACAGTTGAAGTTAATTTAATTTTGCCAACTAGTTTATGATGGAAGAGTCTCTGATGCAGCTGTTTGCACATCATTAAGGCTCACTGTCTCATTACCTGGCCCCTGCACTGTGAAGCCTTTCAAGGCTGCTACAGAGGCAATTGGTAGGAATTAGTCAGTTTCAAGCTCTGGCAGCAGTTAGGATAGACTGGGAGGATTAATTGTCTACCCCATTATTGAACAAGCTTCAGATTACTAAACAGGTCTGCTGCACACTGCTTCAGCTGTTGTGTGTGTGTGCTGAAAGGGTGTTGCTCTGATTTGTGCAGGCCAGAGTAGAGTGGCTTCCTGTTAAGGTACCCAGTGGCTCTAGGCCCATTATGCTGTACAAATATGTATCAGGCCACCCACGCCTTAGAGAACCAACAGTTGCAGTACAAGGAGACAATATGCAGATCCATGTAAGGGAGTAGTGTCAAAAACAGTGATCCCTGATTAAGTTTTTCATAGACCTTGCAGGAGAGAAGTCCTAAAAAGGATGTGGTGGTTAACAGTGGTTTTCCTTTTGAAACCTAAATGCTTCTCTTCAATCTTTGATTGGCCTGTGGCTTCTTCCCTGTCTTAGAACACTTCTTTTCTCCTAGGTTCAAGGATACAATGGTGAACACAATTGGACACAGAGCTACTGAGCGTTCCCTTCAGCTGGGACTCTTGTACTCTGCATCTGATGCCCTTAAGATAGGCATAGTAGATGAATTGGTACCAGAGGAGAAAGTTCTGAATGCGGCTGCTGCTACCATGTCACAGTGGCTGGCTATTCCTGGTAAGAAACTGCTCTCCTTGCGTTACAGCTGTTGCTCTTATTCCTCTCGGAATGCCTAGAGCCCCCTGAGCAGAGGATGCTGATCTAATGGAGCACAGTGAGAGACTGTGTTACATGGTGAAATTGAAAAGTAATACTTATGGGGCTTCACTTAACCTGAATATCTTACTGTCAGTAGGACCAGGTGGAATACATCTTATGGTATTAAAAATAGGCAGTATTGGAAGCGAACTACTAGCAAACAGAGAACTTGTGGGCAGGCAGGGTCTGAAAGGAGGACTCTAAAAATACACATGGAGTTGGACTAGCCCACTGAACTGCAGTGCCTAGTAAATAGCTACAGTTGGCAAATTTATATAGCCCCTGTGCTTCCCCTTGGAGAAGTTACCAAGTTTAATGGTCCAGGCCTGCCTGTGTTAAAATTAATGAGAAGGCTGCCACTGGTCTCTGTAAGAACAGGTGTGTACGCTTTATGACACAGTGTAAAGAATATATTGGATGTATAAGCCAGGGCTGATAGGTAACTGACATGATGTATGACATAGCTGAAGCTGTTCAGTAACTGGGACAGGACATGGCATGTGAGGACCAGGGAGGATGTTCTAACCTGCACTCTGAATCGCAGCCCCTGTTACTGGCCTTGAGGGCAGTATCTGTGCTGGACTTAATAATGTTCTTAGCTTTTGGAATGGAAGGCACATGGCTTGAGGGAACTGCACTCTGTGTTTGTGTAGCTGAGGGGATGGGCTAGGACATGCGAGTTGAACCTGGGCCTTGTCAGCTCCTCTCCCCTTTGACTTTGCCTTAGAACCTTTGAAACCTGGAAATAAAAGGCTGGGGCAGCATCAGGCTCTTCCCAGCAGGGGTTTGAGCCAGGATTGTGCTTGGGGTGGGTGACAGTGACGGCACTGGGAGGTGGGGGTGCCACAGGGGACTACAGCAAATTTTGTGGTGGCTGTAGGCTGCCCCCACCTCTAGCTCCCACTTCCAGTGCAACTGTTGCTGCCTGCCCTGAGCACAGCCCCAGCCCAATCCCCGCTCACCCTCTCCAGGAAGAGCTTGGCACCATCCCTGGCCCCAGCCTGCAGCGGCAGCCTACCCTCACTGTGCATACAGATCCGGGGGGCACCCCCCTATACCTCCACCAGGGGTGCACACAGTGACAGGATCTGCCCCGCCCCCTGCACTCCCTACAACGAGCTGCTTGTGGCTCTGTCCTGTGCCCTGCCCTGGCTGAGCAGTGCCAGCCCCAGCCCCACGTCCTCCCTCATCTGTGGGGGCCTGGATCTGCACCCCTCCCCCTCACCCCTTCCCCCCCCAACAGACTCACCAGCTGGACGCTGCTCTCCAAGCTACTGGGCTGGCTGCATGCATGCTGCAGCTGTGCTCATGCATGTGTCATTTATTGGTGAGATTATTGGCCACATTAGTCAAAAAAAATCCTGATTGCTGATAATGTCAATTTTCCTTTTTATCAGTGCTGATACGATATGGACCGATGTATCAGTGCACCTCTACAATTAGGGACTTGTGGAAATTTCTGTGGGAGGTGCTATGAGGACAGTGGAGGGGCCCAAAGTGAAATGGGAAAGTGGTAGGGTAAGTTGCATGGTGCCTGGGTTGATAGGCACCATGCCTACGCTCTACGAGCGATCGTGGTGCTTGGGCCAGGTGCCGGACAATTGGAAGGTAGCTAATGTGGTCCCCATCTTCAAAAAAGGGAAAAGGGAGGACCCGGGCAATTATAGGCCCGTCAGTCTTACCTCAATCCTGGGGAAGCTCTTTGAGAAGATCATCAAGGAGCACATTTGTGATGGGCCGGCATCAGAAATGATGCTCAGGGGCAATCAGCATGGATTTATTAGGGGGAGATCATGTCAGACCAACCTGATTGCCTTTTATGATCAGGTCACAAAGGCCATGGACGCAGGTGTCGCGGTGGATGTAGTCTTTCTGGACTTCAGCAAGGCCTTTGACACCGTCTCTCACCCCATCCTAATTAATAAACTAGGCGACTGTGGCATAGATGCCTACACAGTCAGATGGATTGCAGATTGGCTGAAGGGTCGCACTCAGAGGGTGGTGGTGGATGGATCATACTCGACTTGGGGGGAGGTGGGTAGTGGAGTCCCCCAGGGCTCGGTCCTGGGGCCTGCGCTGTTCAATTTCTTCATCAGCGATCTTGATGTTGGGGTGGAAAGCAACCTGTTTAAATTCGCTGATGACACCAAAATTTGGGGGGAGGTGAGCACGCTAGCAGGGAGAGAGAGATTGCAGAAGGATCTGGATAGGTTACAGGGGTGGGCAAACAGGAACAGGATGTGTTTCAATACGGACAAGTGCAGGGTGCTGCACTTGGGTAGTAGGAACCAGCAGCACACTTATACGATGGGGAACTCCCTACTTGAGAGCACGGAGGCGGAAAGGGATCTTGGTGTCATTATCGACTCCAAGATGAACATGGGCCGACAATGCGAGGTCATGGTTGGCAGGGCTAACCGGACCTTGTCGTGCATCCACAGGTGCATCTCGAGTAGAGCCAGGGAGGTGATCCTTCCCCTCTATGCGACGCTGGTCAGGCCGCAGCTGGAGTATTGTGTCCAGTTCTGTGCGCCCCATTTCAGGAGGGATGTGGACAACATGGAGAGGGTCCAGAGGAGGGCCACCCGCATGATCCGGGGACAACAGGGCAGACCCTACAGTGAGAGACTGCGGGACCTGAACCCATTCAGCCTCCACAAGAGAAGGCTGAGGGGGGACCTGGTGACCGTCTATAAACTCACTAGGGGGAACCAGAAGGGTTTGGGGGAGACACTGTTTCCCCTAGCCCCCGCTGGCATAACAAGGAGTAATGGGCACAAGTTGATGGAGAGGAGGTACAGATTGGACATCCGAAAAAACTACTTCACAGTTAGGGCGGCTAGGAGCTGGAACCAACTTCCAAGGGAGGTGGTGCTGGCCCCTACCCTGGGGATCTTTAAGAAGAGGCTGGATACCTACCTGGCTGGACTCATTTGAGTCCCGTTTTTTGTTTAGGGTTCTTTTGTTGTTCTCCCACCCTGGCGGGGGGTCGGGCTAGAAGATCTATTAGGTCCCTTCCGACCCTAAAACTATGAAACTATAGGTGTGCAATGGGCAAATACCTTGTTTTTACTTAATGAAGTGATCTGTGTTTGAAGTTAATGGCTAGATTTGGCTTCTGTAACTTGGTGCTGCTCCACTGAAGTCCATGTAGCTGTGCTGAGTGATACCAGCTGAGAACCTGGCTTGGCAGTGCTCTTCTGACCAGTGTCAGGGGCAAGCCTTTGGGCAGTGGTTTGCAAATTAGGGGTCATAATGCCACTTGGGGTCACAGCCTCCATAGAAATGTGTTTACCACAAGGGAGTCTCAAGCTGTTATGAGCTAACTGGAAAGTAGGTTATAAGGCCAGAAACAGGCTGTGTTCCCCCACCCCACCCCCCAAAAAAAACTAGGGAGCATTTGAGTTGAGAAAAGGATGAGTTAATATTTTTATGCAATTACATAATGCTGTTGCCAGAGGTTGTGGTTTATTAAGGACAAAATGGCCTCACTAGATCATCCAGCCTAACCTGTATATCGTAAACCAGAGAGCTTTGCCCAGTTGCCCCAGATTTTCTGAGTAAATTGTCTGGATAAAGTATCTGGTCCAGAGAAGTATTCAGTCTGGAAGTAAATACATTAAGAGATGTAGGATCCATTATTTCTCTTGGTAGTTTTTCAATGGCTAAACACTTGCACTGTTCAAAATAAGGCACAGGTTTTTTAATATGAATGCATCTGGCTCCACCTTCCAGCAATTGGTGGCTCTTTTGTCTTCTGCGGCCCCATGCATGTTGTATGTTAACAGGGACACTTCTCCTGATCTAAGTGCTCCAGGTTTGCTAGTGAGTAAAAGAAACTGAATAGAGACCAAATAGCCTTTATTCATTGTAAATGGCTGGACAGGAAATAAGTGTCAGGGTGCGCAAATACAGAGATCTCCTGAGAGCATACATGTTTATACATACATTATTCTTTGAGCCATCTAATGACAGGCTCATCATAATTGAAAATCCAATAATACATTCCTTTCTCTTGCATATCAGTGCATTACCATTTCAATCCACTTTCCATATTCCTTGACTGTCAAGTTCCAGGTCACTCGGGAAGTTGCACCTTGATGGAAGGAGCACACTTAACATACTAGTACCTCTCAGTGCCCCCAGGATATTCACCGCATTCTTGTTACACTCTCAGTGTGGGTTTGACAAACAAGCAATTTGTAGGGGGCTCTCACCCTGACAGCCAATGCTGCATAGGGCTGTGCGAAGCTTCAGTCCCTGGTTCGATTCGGCGGAGATTCAGCCCAATTCAGTGGCCAAATCTCCAGATCCGAATAGAGCGTCCCCCTGGCTTGGTGATTGGTGCCTCCTGGGTCTGGGAGGGCACCCAGGGTCCCCCTGCAGCTGATTGCCGAGCCAGGGCGGGGTGGGGGGCAGCGCGCTCCCCAGCGGACTCGGAAATGGAATGTAAGTACTTGCAGTCCACTTCCAGGTTTGCCACTGAATATGTGGAGGGCCATTTAAAGCTGTGTCTTTTAAAGCCATTTAAACATTTAAAGCTGTGTCTATGTGCAAATCACCAATTCTCCGAATCAGCATCAAATCTTCAGTTTCGGATTCGGCTGAATTGAATCAGGGACAGTAATCCGAATCAAATCAAATCACTGTCCCTGATTTGGGCTGAATGCGAATCCAAATCAAATAGGGGCCCACTTTGCACACCCCTACTGTATACCATACTCATTGCTCATTCTGTTTCCAAAAGCTAGATCTCTATAATGTCTATGGCCATGAAGGGTAAGTGCCAATGTGCCAGCTCTCTCCTCCACAGACTATGCCCGTCAGATCAGCAAGTCTATGATGAGAAAGCCAACTCTGGATCGCCTGCTTACCCACCGTGAATCTGACATTCAGAACTTTGTCAGTTTTGTCACAAAGGACTCCATTCAGAAGTCACTTCAGATGTACATGGAAAGTCTAAAACAGAGGAAAGGCTGAGGATCCAGCCTGCTGACCTGGGAGAGAGGAGACCTCTTCACAAATCTCCCAAAAATGCTGCAGTAGCTGAAGACATTAAATGAAATATTTTTTTTTCCATGTAAGCCATCAGATTTATACAGTCTGTCCCTTTTAGCATTCTGTTTCTAATTCAGTCACACTAATGCCCTGTTGTATGGTGCCTGATGCCAATGATGCCTTTTTTCTCCCAACTTTCTGAAGAAAACATTAATTGTTCTGGTGATCTGAGTAATAAAATTACTTGGAGTGCAAGCAAAAGCAGCTGGGGAGTTGGAGGCTGAGGTTGGATGTCCGAGGCCACCTAGTACTTGGATTTCCAAGTACTTGGTACTTGGATGCCTTCTTAAAAAGGGGTGGTTTCTTTTATCTTTTTCTTCATCTTCATTATTACTTTTTATGTGAAGAGTCAATAAAAGGTTTTGTGAGGACAGAGAGCATGAGGAAGCAGCTTTGTTTTATCTGTGGCTTGTGCGTCCATCTGTACTTCATAGCAGTGAGTTACTGAATAACTGGAGCAGGCTTGTGTGTAGCAGGTTCAGAGCCTGCAGCTGAAATCCTAAAGTGATGTGTAGCCATTGCTGTGACTGGATAAGAATGGCCTGTTGACTGACTGCTGCTTGAAGGTGGCTGCTTTTGGGAAATCATTTAGTCTCTAGATTGGCAGTTCAGCTCCAGCCATGAGCCCCTCTGCTCTGACTGGTGGAGGGTCAACAGCTACTGGGCAAGCCTTTCCAGCTAGAGGGTTCAAGGGCTGCTTGGGCCTTGGAGCCTGGATCCCTTTGGAACACAGAGAACAATGTGTATGTATAGTTCTGTGGGTGAAGTGCTGCTGCTTATGCTGGTCTCTTCTGTTGTTAAGTAGATGTCAGGTGCTTGAGTGGCTGATTGGCACCTTCCAGCAGTGTAGCAGTGACTTAAATGCCAGCCAGTTGAGAAGGAGGCAGCAGCTGGTTTGCTGGGACTGTGCATGCTGCTGCTGGTGAGTGCATTTGATGCAGTAGGAGAGGGGGTGAAGATCTGAGCAGCACTGGTGCATGAAGTAGGATGCTTTAGTGAGTCTTCAGTGTCAGTTCGACAGGAAAATGGTCACTGACAGCCAGGGCCTGGACATGAACAAGTAGGGAACATGTAGTGTCACAGCTTTCCCCAGGGCTCGCTCCCTTCCTGAGACAGCTGCCTCCCAGGCATACAGTGCTGGGACAGGACTGATGTACTTTGCCAGGCCCTCCACTGTATGTCTGTAAAAGTATTCCTGAGACACCTGATAACCTGGCCTTTCTTGTGGCCAGAGAGCTCTGTAGCTGTGCCCTTCGTGCTCCACACAACAGCTGAAAGCCTGCATCAGTCAGGGAATGCTTGGCTCTGGCAGGGAAGGTGAGGGATGAGGGAGTGCTGGTTCCAAGCTATTAATAACAATTGGATAGTAGTGCTGGTAGTGCCTATGCTGTCTAAACAGGAGAACTACAGAGAATATGGGAACCTTTTCAGCCTACATTTGACAGACTAGTGGCTTGGCACCAGGCCTCTGAAAGCTAAATTGGAGCTTGGCATGTAGGGGTCCAGCTGTCACTCAGGTGAGTCACAGCACAGATGTGGAGCAATGTGCAGAACTAGGTGTAAATTAATCTATGTTAGATGCTTAGCTGCCTCCTATTCTGTCTCCTAGAGCCATTTCCAACAGCCTTGAGCTGCTGCTTGATTAAAATCCTGTGTCAGCCACAAAAGTGATCCCCAGATGTGCAATTTTGTTCCCAACCGTAAATTAACTCCCTGTAAATCCTGCTTGCTTGTGAGTGAAAGGGCTAGGCTCCCAGCAGTATCTCACAGCTGTGTTTCACTAGATGTGGGAGCTGCCTGTGTCAGGTCCTGAGGTCCCAGGAAGCTGGGTTTTGATGAATGGATGAGCCTTTCTAGGGTATTTTAATATTTTCAATGTGCTATTTCCTTGCTTTTGGAGCTCTGTCTAGTTATGGACTCTGCATGCCAGGACACATGGTTTTACTAGTGAAGGTTCATGAAAATGGTCTCCATAACCATCTGGTGGCTCTCAGGCAGGACATAGTCAGGCAGGTGGTGGGGAGCTGTGCCTCACGGTGTTTCAGTAACTCACACATGCATTCTTTAGCTCTCCCACTCTCCGGTCATGTGAGTATTCTGATGAAGCAGTCTTGAGACCACACTACTCTGTCTCCGAGCCATTGGTCTTTTCTAGGGCTGTGCAAGGCTTCGGAGAAGCTTTGGATGCTTCGGGGTCCGAAGCAGCACATCCGGGTCAAAGCGCTGGCCTCATTAAGCTTCCCGAAGGGCTTCGGAGCTGCCTCGGAGATCTGGCCATAGGGTATAATGGGGAAACAATAAAATATCTATAACTTTGTTGTTTTTTGTCTGATTTGGAAGACATTTTCAGGGGTGGTAGAATCTGCAGAGAGCATAAAGCCTGCCAAGTTTTAAGAAGATTGGTACAGGGGTTTGGGAGGAACTGCCCCTCAAGCTGTGGACAAGAAAAACTTGAGCCATGGGTGCTTGTGGGACTGACTATGTCTGTCTTGGGGTGGGGAAAGCAGACACTACTGCAGGCCTGGCTGCTAAGCTGCTGTGTTCCCAGTGACCCATCGATCAATCATGATTCACTCGGGGGACCAGGGACTCGGGGACCAGCTCAATACACAGGACCTAGCTACTACATAAGGACTTAACAAGCATCAATTAGCACCTACAAAACCAGGCTAAGGAGAAGAAAGAATCAATACAGACAATTGACTGCCCCAAGACTGACACAGTCTTGGCACGAGTTTTGTCCGTCGGCAGCTAAGGGTGCAGGGCCCCAGAACCCACCCTGCACCGATCTCCTTGGCAACTGGCAGGTGTCGTGGCTGCAGCAGGGGCCACCATCCCTGCAGCTGTCACCCTGTTGCGCCTTAACACACGCAGTGTCACCCATGGCACGAGTTTTACTTGTCTGCAGCTTGAGGTGCAGTTCCCCCCAAACGCCTGCACCCATCTTCTTGAAACTTGGCAGGCTTTGTGGCCTCAGTAACACCTACCACCCCTGCAGTTTTGACCCCCCTGTGTTGTAACACACAGACATGACAGAAGTTTGGCTTTCAAGAATTTGGGGTACAGTTACCCCCAAACCCCTGCACTGATCTTTTTTAAACTTGGCAGGTTTCATGCTCTCAGCAGAGGCTACCATTTCTGCAATTTTCATCCAAATCGGACAAAAAACAACAAAGTTATAGATATTTCATTGATTCCCCATTATACCCTATGGCCGGATCTCTGAGGTGGCTCCAAAGCTTTGGAGCTGCTTCGGCCGGATCGAGGCGGAAACCCAGTCTGGGGCTCCGGATCAGATCACAGCCATCCAAAGCGGCTGGATCCAAAGCTGGATCGGATTGCTGCCAACTCGCACAGGCCTAGTTTTTTCCAAACACCATTGTGTATGCCCCTGTCCTGTCAGTGCCTTTGCTTGTTTCCCAGGGAGTTGGGGAGGGGCTTGCTGTCACGGTCCCTATGAGTTCAGTCCTGTTACTAGGAAAGGATTGATTTGGAAGATGGGCCATAGCACAGAGAGACTTCCCAGGCTCAAGGACTGGGATTCAGAATTCCCATACAGTTGGCAGTGGAGTTTCATCATTTAGAAGAACAGTGTTTTAATAAAGCTGTTAAACACTGAGCAAGTTGACTAAACTTGTTAAATACAGATGTTTAGATAGGAGCAGAGGGCAGCTCCCACCTTTAACAATTTTCTAGGGATCCTCCTCTAATGACTAGGCAGGCTGCCTTGCCTGTGGACTTTGGGGAGGGATGCTGGCCAAAGAGAAGCAATGTTACCAAAAAAGCTTTGCTGTTCCTTAGGTGTCCATTAGTCAGACAAACATACCTCTGCCTGCTCCAGCTTGAAAGCTCTTTGGAAATTGTAAACAGTTGCAGACTTGGGCACTATGCTTTTCCTCAGTTTAGAGCCACATACCACGATCCTGCAATGTAAGAACACAGGGGTTGGGATTGAAATCCTGCTGTTTTATTCAGGCTGCACATCATGTTCAACCACAGCAGAACTAAGCGAAGCCAAGCTGTTGGATCAGCACAGGGGTGGGTGAACTTGGCACCAGATCAGTTCTTTGTCCTTCTCTCCTGTTCCTGCCCAATACTGTCTCCTGTGTGTTCTGCCAGATTCCCATGAATGAGAAACTGGAGGCAGGACCTTGAGAAAGATGAGCAAACATTCAGCTGCAGTTCTACCAGTCCAGTCAGCATGCTGTTGTGCTGCTGCAGCTATGGCAGCCAGCAAGGAGTGAGTGCCCTGTGGAATCCTGGGCAGATTTGCTGTAGATCAGCCAGACCCCTCCCTGCCCTCAGGTACTTGCACTGTACCATCCTCTGTCTGCAGTGCTTTCAGTGCCTACAAAACAGGCCTGCTAGCTGTAGCCAATCCTTCCCCTAGCACATCATACATGGATCAAAGTCACTTCACCTGTTTTGTGGCTGGTTAAAGCCAACTAATAACTGCAACCACAAGTCTTAACATTTTGCCCTGTTCTAAATCTTGCACAGCAGGGTAGGGTTAAGGCCCCAGAACTTCAGGGGCTCCTGTAGGAAGTGACTCCTCCCTCCCTTCCCAGCCCAGTGCTACTCACCTGTCATAGGCACAGTCTGACTTCCCCACAGTCGTATCTGCATCATCAGGAATAAGCCACTTAAACACCTCACTGGTGCGCAAGCGGATATGCTCCCAGTCCCCTTCTTTGACATAGGAGCAATCCGCATTGAAGTCCCCCAGGAACATAATATCCTGCAGAAGGAACAGTGGGAGTGGGTTGAGTGTTTGGAGCTGGCTGGTACAGGGGAGACTGGCATGTAGACTATAGCTTGTCACAGTCCTGCTTGAAGGTCCAGCCCAGATGCCTTTGGACTGCCAGGTGGAGACCCCCCTACCCCGAGACCTGTATACAGGATGGGTAAGAATCAGAACTTCCAGTGTGTCAACATTTGTTCTGTGGAACTGAGATGAAATGTCCAAATATAATAAAATGAAAAGTTTCCTGAAAAACTTGGTCTAGAAATGGCTGAACATTGAGTTTGGGGTGAGATATTAACCTACTCATGTCTCTGCTGCCATGGAGTATCCTGGCAGGTGTAGTTCAGATGCCCCCTGCCCCAGTCCTCACTACTGACCCTAACCCAACATGCATGCTAAATCTCCCATGATACCTGGTGAAAAGCACTGCAGTGATGTTAGTTTTAGAGCACTGAGGGCCCTTTGATAGTTGCCTGTCTATGGTAGGAGCACAGTCTAAGAGAAATGGCATTTCATCCATCAGTTTTCCACCATTCCTTCTACCAGTCCACCCCCCTAGGCCATTCAGACTAGGCTCCAAGGTGACTGCCTGTAATTTATGTACTATGGCTGGGATTTCCAAAGAAGCCTAAGAGTGGGGTTATGTGATTCAGTCCTTAGAATGCCAATGGACCCAGTGCCTGGACCATGCCAGTGCCCTGCACTGCTGGGGTGAATGTTAGGGAACTAGGGCCAGGGTGGGAAAGGCCAACCTGCTTGAAAAGTGCATGTTAGGGATGAGAGAGCAGGCACCTTTTTCCCAGATCCTGCAGACAAAGAAGACAGAGAGGACACTCCTCTGGGCAGAGGCATTAGGAGTGTGTTGTGTCAGCATATGGTTTAGGTCTAGGAGCATCCACAGATTGTGATATTCCAGTGATTCTCAACCAGGGTGCTGTGGCACCATAGGATGCCATGAGAGCTTCTGCAGGGTGCCATGGGGTGTTAGGAAATAAGCAGGTGTGGGGAGACAAGAACAGGCTCAGGCTCATTTCTGCCTGACTGCTGTCCTGCCCCCACTGTCTGGCGCTTTGGCAAGGAGGTCAGCCCTATAATAAATACATGAGCTTTTGAAATGGGTAGCACTCAATTCACAAAAGCTATGGAAGGGCACTTGAAGTCAAATGAGGGGGTGCCTCATACCTCAAATGGCTGAGAACCACTGTGCTATTCCATGGGTATTTTCACAGATGTTATTCCCATGTCCTCTGGAGTCTGAGGCCTAGATGACTATTTACCCTGGTTAAATCCAAGATGACCCTGCTGTCTCTAGGGGACCTATTCTAAATCCCTGCAGGCACATCTAGGAAAAGAACCCAGCCCCTGGAAGGCTAATGCTTGGCACCACCTGAGACATGCATCATTGTACAGCACTGGTTTTTGTGGTTATCCCAAAGGAGCAGGCAATAGCAGTGATAGGGGCCCCAAGGATTGATTCTTTAATCCCACAGAAGCTAAAACCAAAGGCGAAGCAGCGCTGGCCTAGTGCAGAAACTACTGACCAGGACCTGGTCTGTGTTGTGCAGAGGCAGATGGTGTGGTCAGAGCCCTGTCTGGCATTGGCAACTGTGACCCTGTGACTGTAGAGCCTATATAAGTATTCATGTACAGTTGGACCTGCCTGCTTACATCAGTCTCCCACTTGTCAATGACGTCTAAGTAAACATCGTAGAGGGCATCAATCTCTGTGACGGCCGTGTGGGGGCATGTGTGCAGGGGTACCAGCACAAACTCCTTCACCTCTGCCAGAGAAACAGCAGTTATACACACACAGTCATCATACATGCATATGCACACTGGCACTCATGAAGACAGTTGTCTATCATCTCCACTAACACAACTCAGGATTCCCCCAACCAGACCTAGGGGAGCCCTGGCTCCCTAGAGCTGAGTGACCTCACTCCCCACCGATGCATTGAGCTCCTCCTTGCCCCTCATCAGCACAATACTGCCTATCTGTCTGTACTGAGCCTGCCCTGCCACATAAAGTTCTGTGTATCCAGGATGTGACTGAGCTGGGGACACAGGCCTGCAGCTCTTCTTGTAGGAACATGCCGGATGTGGCTGAACTGCAGCAGTACCCATGGCTGTGACCCAGCCCAGCTGGCACCAGCACCACTGCTGGGGGAGTGGAACTGCCCAGCCAACTTCATGGACCTTTTGGCTAACAACGCCCCCTGGTGCTCCAGCAGCAGGACCTGTGCTGGGGAGCGTGAGAGGCTGGGGCTGATGCTGCAGTGCTATAAAGTCCCTAATGGCTGTGGCGTTCAACACAGGCATAGCTCATTTGTCAAGAACATGGATCCTCAGGACAGTGCACAAGGCAGCACAGGTAAGAACAGGCTCTCATAGGGCTCAGAGTTTCCCTACCATTCATTCCCTTATTGTAAGTGGCAGTTCACCAGTGCACTGTGGCCCAGCCGGGTTCACAGATGAGTCTCGGGAGCAGGACTGGTGAATTAAGCTTGAGGATGGCACAGTGCAACAGAAGCGCCCAGAGCAAGATGCCCTACAAGCCTGGTTATGGCCAGGGCCAGGCAGTGCTATAGGTGAGACACTAATCTCCCATCCACCCACTCTGCTTACTCAAATAGGGTGAGGAGAACTTCATGATGAAAGGCTCCCGACTGAAGATGTCTTCTGGGTCCTCATACTGGTACCTGTCCACCACAGACACCACCTCTTTCCTGGGGAGGGAGACAAAGAGGGTTGGACAGAGCAAGAAGAGGGGGAGGGAGCTTCAGGAGGGTTTGCAGAAGGCTTGGTCTGCAGGGACTGGACTGCAAGGGAAAGTTCTTTGGGGAAAAAAAATCTCTATCAAGTGAACTGGATCCAGCTGTATGCATGGGAAAGTACAGCACAGACAAGCACAGGGAAAGCCTCTTGGACAGTAGGCAGATTAACGCACAGGCTGGTGGGGCCTGGGTCCAGGGGCCCCTGCTAATCAGGGGCCCCTGGGTGCCTGGATTCCAGTGGGAAATGGCGGGTTTCTCTTTGCAGGTGAGCAGCACTCTAACCTGCAAGGGGTCCTGCTTGGGGGTGCTGGGAGCGAGACACAGGGGGTGTCGCGTGCCTGTGCATGGCCACTTGCATGACCATGGCCCGGAACACTTACCCTGCAGGTAAGTTCGTGGCGGGGGCAGATCAAGGCTGCCACAGTGAGGGAGGGAGTGGGGCAGGGACAGGGGCTGGGGGTGCTGCCTAGCCAAGGCAGTGCATGGGACCTAGGGCCAGGGTGGGGAGCGGGATGGAGCCATGGCTGGCTTGTCCAGTGGGCATGGGAGGGTGGCTCTCCACCACTGTGCGCACCCCCAAGTGGAGGCAGGGGGCACATGTCCCCCTGAATTTGTGTGCTGGGTGGATGTGGGTTGCCCGCTATGGGCTTGGGGCTCCACTCTGCTGCCTTTCCCTCGGAAATCCCATGCAAGCCACGTGCCCCTTGCCCACCCAGCAGCAGGGGCAGCGAGTTGTGCCTCCTGTTGCCAGTCAGGCAGGGGATGTGTGGAAAGCGTGGGGTCCCTGGAGCAAAGGTGTCAGGGCAGGGAGCCCCAAGCCCACAGTAGGCATCCCAGATCCACCATCACCCTAATCAGCTATGCTCCAGCCGGGGGGGGGAGGAAGTGGGCTGGCAGGGGGCAGGGAAGAGTGGTGGGCATTTGTCACACCACTCCCAGCCTGGCTGAGTCCACCCAGACTCCCTGGTGGGGCATCGAGGCCTTTGGCAGTGGCAGTACCAGGAAGGGAAGGGGCCCAATAAATCTTAATCCACCACTGCATGTTGCTCAGTCCCAACTCACAGCCCACTGGGATTCCAGGCTGGGCTCTCCTTCCATGCACACATGCACATACATGCTGATGCCTCTCAGCTGTAACCTGTACCCCTGTCCCAGCCTAGGGTCCACCTGTCCCCGCACTATCCCTGCAAATTCACTGTTGGTGAATTTGCCCTGTTGTCTGTCTTGAGGAAGGCTGGAACACAGCACCTTGCCTGTGGGGGTCCATCCATGGGCCATGTCAATAACCATGCCATGTGCCCCGCAGAATTCTCACAGCTTCAGACCTTGATGATTCACTAGTGTGTTTGTTCATCTGAATCCATAACTCTATGTTCCCTGTTATATGACTCAGGTTATTAACATCAGCTCTGGGCAGGCACAGACTCATAGACAGGCTAACTAGAGCCTCACAGTGGCTATGAAAGAGTACCTTATCCTAAGGCCAGTGGAAACTTCCACACCAAAAATCTGGGGAAATTTGGGATTCAGCATTTGCAGTCTTACAAGGAGAAGCATGAAGAAGCAGGCTGTAGGTTTAAGAGCACTAACCAAGTAAAGTCCAGTGGGAAAACGCCACATATGGCCTACACTGTATTAGGAAATTGAATGTGTGAATGGAGTCTCAAACAGCCTTAGCTGTTGAGGGCTATGATCAGACCCTTCTGATCACAGCCCTCATCTCACCCACATGTGGGGGCCCAATTCTCAGTTACCCAGCTCTGACATTTACAGGAGCCTTAGGGAAGATGCCAATATAGGTCAGAAAGGCATGAAGGTACTGTTGTGCATGGGACAAGGAGGAGCTGTTCCCTGATCACCCTCAGAGTTTGGGGGGTTGTGACTGACAATAACTGGGAGGGTTGAATCAGGGCCCCAGCTCTTTCACAACACTGCCCAGCAGCCCTGAATGAAACATTACCTGTAGATGAAGAGGTACATCTCCTTGTAGCTTTCCCGGCCCAGGGGCTTGCTCCTCTCATAGGAATAGGCATCCATTGTCATGCTGCAGGGGACACAAGGGAGAAGTGAAAGGAGCAGTGGGCACTCCTGCATTACCTGACATTAGCAGCAGGGTGAGATAATTAGGCCTGGTGTATGGGCCACTCCAGCTAGCCAGCCAGCATGGCCCAGTGCCTGCCCCACTCAGCCCCAACCTACTCCCCTTGGCTATTCTGCGTGGGGTCATGACGGCCAGGGCACCTTCACTATTTTCCATCAGACAAGCCAGCCCCTAGGCAAAATAGTAAGTAGCCTCTCTATGGATGGCACGTTGTCTTGCCTAAGTTTGAGCAGAGGGTGGGTGGAGTCATTTTTGAGACACAGGTATTTCTGGGTTCTCTGGAGTTGCCTTTTCCACCTGCAGTGATTCCATCTGCATCGACACAGGAGGGGAGGATGGGCAAACTCAAGTGCAGACTTACAAACCACAGGTCTTTAAAGTCACTGGAGGCTGAGATGGACCTCCTGGCTTGGGGGTCTGACTCCACCTCCTGAGGTTGGCCAAATGAAACACCCTACAAACCAGCCAGTCCACAGTACTATACACTGTGCTTGCAATGTGGCACCTGATCATCTCTGCTAGGCAGGCTCCCTTGCTCTTGCCTAGGCAGTCTCTGATGCTTTGTGGGAGCCCCAGCCATGCCTGGCCTGGTGCCAGTTGATGACTGGTGTACCATGAATCCCTTCCTCAGGAAGCCGCTATATTCTGGAAATGCTCAGCCCAGTGCTCTTTGCCCAGAAGGTTCCACTTCTGGAACCCATGGGATCTGCTGGACCTGGTGGTATCCTGAGGGAGCACAGCTGGCAGGAGGACCCTTACATTTTGGGAAGTAGGTGGCTGAGGCGGGGATATGCTAGAGGTCTATAAAATCATGAAGTGTGTGGACCAAGTGAACTGTGCTCGCAATGTGGTGTTCTTCACTGAGGTGTTCTTCACCAAGTCCCAGAACATTAGAACTAGGAGGCAGCCACGGAAATTAGTAGGAGACAGGTTTATGCAATGTGTATTTAACTTATGGAATTAATTGCCACAAGAGGTGGTGGAGGCAGGTAGCATAGACTAGTTGAAAAAGGGACTAGACAAATTCATGGATAAATATCTATTAACAGCTGTTTTGGGGGCATAAAATGGGCTGACATCAGCAGTGAACTCCAGTGGTGACAGTGACCTCCAGTTGTTGCCGATCGATATAACTACATTCCCTGTAATACCCTTCACTCAGTGACACATGCTCCTGCACCACCTGGGCAGGAGTTGGAATGTGCAGCAGGAGGTGGAGCCAGGGATGGGAGGGTGAGGCACCTTCTCCATTCCCTTCTGGTGCCCTCCCCCTTAGGCAGCACCTAGGGCTTGTTCCCACCTCACCCACCCATTCTCACACTACTGGTCCCTACCTGTGCTTCAGGGGCCGTGTTCTCACCAAGTTACCTGTTGAGCTGGTCCATGAGCTTTGTCACAGCACTCAGATCAGAGTCCCGCACCTCCTGCACCAGGGCAATATCGTACCTAGACAGGATCTGTTGGGGATGGCAGGAGCTCTCAGTAAGTGGTATGGCTCAGACCAGGGCTTAGATCAGGGGCAGGCAATTATTTCAGGCAGAGGGCTGCTTACTGAGTTTTGGCAAGCCATTGAGGGCTACATGACAGGCAGCCAGGGGCCGATAATTATTAATTTTCTAAATTTTGGGGGGCCCTGCAGGCCAGATAGAATGGCCTGGTGGGCTGCATCCAGCCCGTGGGCTGCATTTGCCCACCCTGGCTTAGATCAAACAGCTGGCGGGGATGACTTGAGACTCAAAGTGAAAGACTGCATGTTCAGGGGACAAGCACCACAACAACACTCAGTGGTACGGCAATCAGCTTCCTCCCAACCCAAACACAGCCTGTTTGCTAGCAGTGGTGCTGAGAGCCCCAGCCAGGAACAAATCACCAGGCTATCTCTATCATAACAGATAAATTGATGCACATTCAATGAGATAGCCTCAGGGAAGGACTAGTAACTCCATGGGGTATAGAAAGAGGCTCAGTTCCCCACTTTGATACCTGGAAGATCAGAGCAGTGGCTGACACTTCTCCCTGCTAATTTCACTAAAGGGTAAGGGCATTATCTCACAAAGGAGAACACCAAGGCACTGTGGGGAAGGGACACACTGGAGGTCACCCATCAGGCCAGTTCCAAAGCCTGAGTGCTACAACAGAGCCTGAATGCTGAGTGTCCTGTCACAGTGCCCCCTGTGAGCTGAGAGACAAGAATCTTCCATGCATCAGCCACTCTGATGTTTTCCCAACCCCTGGTCCCAGACTCCAGAACTCAGTCTGATCTGACCAGAAGGAAATCCAGGACACTGCTCTCCCTCCCCATCCCCATCCCCATCCCCATCCCAGCCAAGTTAGCAGTGCTGCTGCAGGCAGAGGCAGAGGCAGGGTGACGTGTGGCACACCATGCTGCTCTGCCTCTGCCAGACTGCATTCTGCACCCCCCTGTGTTTCTGGGATGCTCATATTAATTCTCACCAGACAGCCAGGACCGGCCTCCAAAATCTAGAACTGTTCCAGCTAAACCAGGACACATGGTCACCCAGGCATGATCAGAGTAAGGGCTCAGGTCCTGGGTTGGATCAAAGAGCACCTGCCAGCCCAGCATACGGGGGTGCTCAGACCACCAAGCTCAGGAGTTGGGTTCTTCCCAGCACAGGGATATGGAGCCAAACCCAGGTCTGGACTGGGGCTGTGGGCACCTTTCTGGCTGCCTCCATTCAGTAAAGAGTCCCTTGCTGGGGTTCATCCCTGGCAGGGACAGAAGTGCCTCCAGGGCATGAATGCTGGGTTCACTGCCTCCCCTTTCCAGAGGGGAAGTAGTGAAGTGCCTGCCATAGGTAAGTGCTGACAGGTGACCCTCAGACAGGACACATCTACCCCTGATCCGCTCGGTCTTATCACCTTAAGATTCAGTGCCATTTTGATTCTCCTCTTGCTGGTATCAGGCTATATTGTGACACCAAGATGAATCCATAGACATGCTCCCCTCTAGATAGGGAGAACTTTCCCAGGTCAACAACCTCTCCCCCTTGAATCCTGAGTGGGGCCATTTTTCAGTTAAACACCTGCACAAACCTTTGCTAGCTGTCATAGGGGTTACTGAGCTGGCTCAATACTGGGCACAGACCATGCCTTGGCCCCAGCTCCTAAAAGCAGTAAGCATTGGCACAGTGGCCAGCAGCACTCACATTGATGATAATATCTGCAGCGGTCTCATTGGATAGCTTGCTGTCTCCAAATGCCTGGATGTTGAAAGCACTGATCCTCAGTGTGGCAGCTATGTGCAGCAGGGAAGCCACAGACAGCAACGGTAGCACCAGCTTCCTGGCACCCATCCTGCAGGGAAAAGGGAAACTGAAGTCTGCAGCATGGGGCTGAAAGGTAGCAGGAGCAGGCCTGGTAGAAGAGGATACATCCTAGTGGCACTGCTGGGGTGAGGCAGATGGACCATGTGATTTGCTTACAATACAGTTCCAGCACCTTAGCATCAGGCCTGGCTGTGGATTGTTCTGCCTTGTGAAACTGCTTCTAATATGGGGAACAGGGAAGCAAATTAGTTTCATTAAAACAACAGCTTGGGGGGGCAGGAAGGAGCCTG